TGTCATGATGCCCTCTCTGTCCCTCTTCTCCTCTCAGTCTCGGCCTCGCTGAAGAGCCTGCCGCCTCCCATCACCGTGGGGTGAGTACCGCGGGGGGGGGGCGGCCCTGGGGCCTCGGCAGGCAGCACTGAGAGCTTTGACCTCCGCCTGAGGCCTAGAGGTGCCTCTGGTGCCCCGGGTTGCTGCCGCCTTCTCCTAGCGATGAGGGACCTGGGAGCCCCTTAGAAACCTCAGTCGTTGTTTTTAAATAACGTTATTTCCAATTTTTGTCTTTATTATTCTAATGAGCGTTGTGGGCTTATGAAGTTGTTGCGGTGGGAAGAAATCTCTGGAGGTTATCCAGTCCCAGCCCCCTCCTCGAAGGAGGCGTGTCTAATGAATGGCTGCCTATTCAATTGGGAAGGTGTTTGAGTCTCATCTAAGGGTGGTGTTTTCTTTGGTTTTGTTTCGTTTTTTTTTTAAAGAAGCTTAATGGAAGCTTTCTCATTATTTGTAGTGTATTGCACGCCACAAGACCAGTGCATACAAGCCAGCAGTCTTTGGCTCCTCTGCCACCTTTGCCTGAGAAAGGAGGAGAAGTACGGCATGGCTTAATCCCTGAGGAGTTTTTCCAGTTTCTCTATCCTAAAACAGGAGTTACAGGTTAATATATATATATATTTTTTAAGTGTGATTAATTATACTTATTTAGTCCTGTCCACTACTTCTGGCTGCTGAAAATGCTAGGGAAAATTATTTTTTCAGTATGCACAAGGAGGTCATGAAGAATGTGCTCCACTTCTTGGCTCTACAGCTAGGCACCTGTGCATTAAATAAAGGCTAAAAGAACGTCATGAGTTTGGTCTTGCAGGAAGGTTTGTTTGCCTGCTGACCCTCAAAACCTTATACAGAGATTTTTGCCTGTTTGAGTGAGCAGAAGCACCAGAACCCATGCAAGGTGTAAGCTACTTCTGCTTCTGGTCTGTGTCCTCATGGCACCTTTCCCCTTGCTGCTATTGGGTTTCTACTTCTTGTTATGGTAAAAGAGAACACTTCTGGTATTCTTTAAAGCCTTTAACTGCCAACCTCTTAGGTGTTTGACTTTGGCAAGTCTCTTTATGCTTTGTACAAATAATGTTGCCTTATTTTTTTTCTTTAGGGCCTTACATGTTGGGAACTGGACTCCTGCTTTACTTTCTCTCTAAGGAAATCTATGTAATTAACCATGAGACAGTTGCAGCTGCCTCCATATTAGCAGTCATCATTTATGGCGTCAAAAAATTTGGGCCTGATGTAGCAGCTTTTGCTGACAAACTTAATGAGGTAACAAAACCCTAATTAACTTTTTAAGTTAGTAACTAGTCTAAGTTATCTGCTTAAATAACTTAAAGAATACTGTGTCCAAACTTACAGAAATCTGTGTTTAATATATTTAAAATGTTGCTTAATTAAGGTATGTTTCAGATATTGGTATTGTTATGGAAGTTTTCAAAAGTAAAACCAGCACAAATTACTTTTTTTTAAGTCGGATTAATTGTGAACCCTAATTGTTCTATGCTTTAATCTCAACCCTGGCACAAGCCAGGCTGTGCAGACGTTTCTCAAATTTTAATGCGGAATTTCGGAAGTTAATTAGAGGTCACTTGCTTTCCTTGCATCTTGCTTTCATTCTGAAGCATATTTTTTGTTTCTTCTTTCAGGAGAAGATCGCTAAAGCTTTAGCTGTGAAAAATGAGAGTATTAAAGATCTGGAGACTGCCATTGAGGAGGAGAAGAAGGAGCAATGGCGAGTTGAAGGCCGTGGTTATCTCTTTGATGCTAAGAGGGTACGCAGTTTCAGCTCCACTGTTCACTTCCACTGCAGCCTCTGCTGTGTAATCTGGGTGCACCTTGAATTGCTGACAAGTTACAAACCGTTTACTCCTGCGTGTTGCAGACAGGGCCAGTTCCACTGCCTGACCCTGTGACTTTTGCTATAGAAGATCTGCTGCTGCTGTTCTGTGTTTTTGCCAAATGTTAACCCTTTGATTTCATTTTCTCTGTCTAGAATAATATTGCAATGCTGCTAGAAGCTAATTATCGAGAAAGATTACTGACAGTGTACAATGAAGTCAAGAAAAGGCTGGACTATCAAGTGGCCATGCAGAATTTGAAGCATCAGAAAGAGCAAGATCACATGATTCAGTGGGTGGAGAAAAATGTTGTTCAGAGCATCACACCTCAGCAGGTACTTGGGGTTTTTTTTCTTAACATTTGCTTTACACTTCAGTCATTACAAATATTTGCTGTCCAGTGATTCTGGCTTAAGCCGTAGGTCATCACTGGGTGACTTCCAAATGACGCTGCAATGTATTTCTACTGCTGAGTAAGAGCTACCCAGCCCAGTAACTGAGTACCAGCTGCCTGTGTTGCTGGTGATTTAAGATAGAATCACATGTGGTGCTGCTGCTTGTAGCACAGAGCTAAACTTGTGATAAGATGAACAGCTAACAGGTTGGGGAATGTGAAAAGTAGAAGTAATAAAAAAAGTAAAACTTGTATAAGTCTCTGTGTAGGACCATGGAGCTTAGGATCTCCGGATGTGCTCTGGATGTCAGTTCTTTTAAGGCATGAAGCTGAGAACAAAAAAGGAAAGTGTGTTCCTAGCACTGTGTGCAGATGCTTTAATGCAGGTCACTGTTTGGATGTGAATCTGATTTCATGAGCTATATTTATATTCCTTTTAATCTGTTACTCCTTTATGGGTCTAAAAAGGAGTATCTAAAATGCATTAGAATGCACATCTTGCTTGGGTAAATGTCTTTCGTAAAGTCATTCTTCTGAAAGCTGTTTTCCTTTCTTTTGCAGCAGAAGGAGAGCATTGCAAAGTGCATTTTGGACCTGAAGGCATTATCAAAGACTGCGCAGGCAGCGGTGTAGTTGTGTCTGATTGCACCCAGCTGTCTCATGACTTACTGTTGGATACTGTATGAGTCTAAAGTATCATTAAACAAACCAACCAAGCACTCTGCTGTCTCTCATTAGCAGTAGCAACAGTAGTTTCCATTTTGTGTTTGAAGTAGCTAAATCAGTCAGGTAATCTGCTACACTTGGTTTGTAGTGGGACATTTTTTGCAGTCACTGTGCACGCAATTCTGTTTGGTTCCTTGTTTCGTCATGAACAGATCCAGAGATAAGATACAGAACTTCTGGTGCTAATGCAGTGATTGGCCTTTGGTTTAGAATTCTGTGTGATGGTGGCCTAGAGACGTCTCCTGTAATTGTCAGATCACAATGAGTGCCATTCACCTCGTCCAGTACTTGGAGGTACTCTGAATCAATATCCTTGTTTTAAAAATGAACTGGAAAAAAAAGACTTCCATAACAAAGCTTCAAATAGTGTTGAAAGTGTCTTCCTCTTCTGTAGAAAAGAGGACGTAGGTGGCAGGAAACATATTGAAAGCTGCCAGAAAACTTGGCTTGGACTGTGCTCACCAGTGTGAAGTTAGAACCACTGAAATGGATAAGTTTGTTCTAGAGGGTGGGGTTTTTCTAGCTTTTCATTTAAAGAAAAGCCTTTTTGCTTTGTGTAGCAAGGAAAGTAGTTTCTGTATATTGTGACAATACATAGTAGAAGCCTTTTCATGTGGTTCTTATAGGAAACTCTCTGAAGGGTGGTGGTGTATCTCAAACTTCCCGACTGAGCAGAACACTTCCCTATGTGTGTTCTCATACTTTGTCTTGGAAAGTGATTTATTTAGTAAATAAATAAGCTGACCAGTGTGTGCCTTTTTTATATGTAGTGGTAGCATAGTAGGGAAATGCTTATTTTAGTGGAAAAGTAGCAGTTTTCCACACTTTTCAATACAACAGTTCAGCAAAAACAAGAGGTATTCTTTACACAGAATCACAGAATCGCTCAGTTGG